GCCGGCACCGTCCCGGGCTCTGCCGCGGGTCCCGGGCTGGGTGTCCCTTCCCCTGGCCTTCCCCTCGGCCGGCTAGCCGCGGGCGGGAGCGGCTGCGTTCCCGCGGCCTCCTGGGCGGTACCGGTGCTCCCGGGACGCGGCGTCTGCCTGGGGGGGTTTCTGCTTTTTTCACTTCACGTTTAGCCCGAGCCCAGGGCGCGGCCCCGAGCCTCGGTGGTGGGCAGAGGCAGCACAGGGGGACCCTCACGGAGGGGCCGCCGGGTCCGGGGAGGTTTCTCAGGAATCAGATACACTCTCATGCCCGGTTAACGGTTCTGGGTATGTGGCATCCTTGAGGTTAAAGGAAATTTATCTTCTGCCTACTAATACGGGGTTTTCTTGGGGGGCTTTGTTGTTCTTGTTTTCTTCTTTAGTATTTATGATCTCGCATTCAAACCGGATGGGACTCAATTGATAATTGCTGCTGGAAATAGGCTGCTGGTAGGGAAACTTCTTTTTCCTCTTGCAGTTACAGCTGTACAAATACGATTTCTTTCATATTAATTTATGAATATAACCTGTCAAAAATCCTCTTATCTCTACTCGTCCAGCCTCATATCTACATACATATTAATGCATGCTAACTGTAAAGTGTTTTTGAAGCTTTTTAATGTTTCTTACCAAGTTTTAAGCTCTTACTTTCAAAAGTAATGAGATTTAATTTCCTTGCATCATCTTATCTTTTTGCACCTCACCCGGTAGTTTGAAATCCATTAACCTGCACCCGAGAGCGCAGTGGCATGGTATACAAGCACCCGAGAGCGCAGTGGCATGGTATACAAACACTACGTTGGCACAACTTTCACACGGATCTCTGTGAAAAGGGGAAGCAAACTCAAACTCATATCCCTGCCTTCTGAGAATCTGTGGCTAAAGCTTTGAGTGGGTCCCTGGGTCCCCAACCCACCCGGGGTTCCCGCTCCGAGGGGCGGGCGCAGGGACTGGCGTAGCGGGTGCTGCCCGTGCTGCGGTGCGGGACCCCGGGGCTTGTCACTGGCAGGGCTGCAGGGATGGGGTGGCTGGGGATGGGCCTTTCCAGTACCTTGTCATGTTTAAACACCTAAGGTGCGGAAAGATGGGAAGGAAGTAAAACAAGCTGGCCAAATGAGCCGTGGGGAAATTTCTTTTGTGTGTGTAATTTTCTAATGCCGAGCCTCCTTTCATTCTGAGGAAGAATTATGTTAGGGAGAGCTGCTGCTGTACTCTAAAACTGTCTTGCACAGACTGTATGCTACGCAAAAAAGCAAACACAAAGTGTATAATCTTGTTGGCCTTCAGCAATTTTATATCCTAGTCCTTCCTGGAAGATTTTTTAGGTATGTTTGTATTTGTATTTCCCCCCCTTGTTTAAACAGGTATATGATACTTCTGACGGAACCTTAATTCAGCCTTTGAAAGGACACAAGGACACTGTGTACTGTGTGGCTTATGCTAAAGATGGTAAATATCTCTTTGTGGGGCTCTGTTAGTCTGGCTCGTAACATGCCTGTCTTCCATCTCTTGTTGCCGGTTAATCAGTACAGAAGTCGGGGTTGTTTCAGGAGCAGTATTCTGAATGTGTATGAGCGCTGGTGGGTTGGTTGGTTTTCAACAGAGAGTTTGAGCTGCTCCACAAACACTACGTGCAGATCTCCTGTATTTTACACGTAAGGCTGCCTGTTAATCCAAGAACAGCAGTCCCTGCTTCCCTTCCCCTTCTGCTTCAGTGATGGTTGAATTTATGTTTGTGGGGTAACAGGAGGAGTTTTACCCCAGAGATTCCTCTTTCTAGTACTCCACCTGCCCCTGATTTTTATTCCCGTGGCTTCTCTATCCCAAAGCTTCCAATCTCCCGATCCTTCACATGTTGCCACGCTCACTACAGACCTTATTCTGCTTCCACTTCTTTCACTGTCTCTGATTCTCATTCTGTGGGGATTCACTGTGGACTCGGAGGGCTTCCTCTCAAATACTTCTGTTTAAGTTACAGGGGATACTTGTGAAAATGCACTGGTTTTCCCTTGACACTGTTAACATAAACCTCCAGCTGTGCCTGGCAGGGTTGGAAGGACGCGCTGGGCTTTGGCACTCTGAGGGAGTAGCAGAGTCATGGGAGTTCCAGGTAGCTGGGGAAGCACAGTCACATCAAGACACTTGCAGTGTTGGGTCCCTTGTTACTTGAGCCGTGTCAAGTATAAGAACTTCTTGCTCTCTCTTTGATTTGACTATTTGGAGTGAAAGCGATTCTTCTATGTGTGGGATTTAAATTCTATTTAATTCCTAGGCAAACGTTTTGCATCTGGCTCGGCTGATAAAAGTGTGATAATTTGGACTTCAAAGTTAGAAGGAATTCTGAAATACACGTAAGTGGTGCCTTTCAGTTCTGTGCCTCTCAGAAATGGGCTTTGAGTTTGCGCTTCTGCTGTCACAGAGTACGTGCTGTTAGAGCTGGAAGAAGGTTGACTAAGGTCAGAGCAAATGCCAGGGGGGAGCAGGAGAGGGAAGAGGAATAGAACAGAAGTATCAGGATGAGGCAGGAAAGCAATTAAAGGCATGAAAGAGGGTGGGAGGTCTAGATAAATCTCTGAGTTTAGAGGGCTGACAGAGAACTGGGGAAACTGTGTACGTTGAAATAAAGTGAAACAGAATGACTCATCCTGTATAATAAAATTAATATCATTCTGGTTCAAAGACCAAGTTAAATATCAGGTTTGGTACTTTGGGTGTATTTTCATCTTTCTCCTGGTTTTGTTTCTGTCATCCTTCTTAAGTGACATCTTCAGATCCTGTTGCTGAATGTGCGTGCACATTTATTGCTAGTTAGAAAGTACAAGCTAGTGTACTAGTAGGAGCAAACACAAGCATACGTGGTTTAGAATTTGGATGTAACCTTTAATCATATTTCACAAACCACCATCTATGTACATTTTTAGCTAATCTTGATGAAATACAGTGAATCTTTCCACTTAGAGACATTTTTTTAAGGGTTTATTACTGATTCAGTTTACAGTAATTGCAGATTAATTTGATGTAGTATAAACTGATCAAATTATTTCTGGCATCTGGTAGACCTTTCAGCTATCTTGCTGAAAGTCAGAAAAGGGGGCATTTAAGAATGATTTATTGAAATATGATTGTAACTTCGTTCTAGGCATAATGACTCTATACAGTGCGTTTCATACAATCCTCTTACTCATCAGTTGGCATCCTGCTCCTCCAGTGATTTTGGTATGTCTGCTTCCTCTAACTTTTCCATTAAGCCAGTAAATTCTCTTGAAGCTGTATAGTGAAGCTATCTACAGGTAGATGCAGTTCTTTATATCCAGAAGAGGTGAGATATAAAGGTAGCTAAAGTTAAGTAACGTTAGATACTTATTTAAATCACTTAAACTCAGTTGGAAAGGACTGTGTAGTGAGGTGCCACAGGGTGAAGTGTACTACTTCATTACGTTGTTTTTTTGCAGTGATATCCTCTGTATTAGATTTCTTTTCCCGTTTACTGATAAATAATATGTGTTTAAATGTCCTTGTAGCTGTGGATGAGTCTTTGATCCCTCTGAAGTCCCAGCTGAGTTTTCTGACAATATTGGTTTCTGATCTGAACGCTGGTATATGTTCACTTGTAATTTACTTTGGCTTTTTGTTTGCTTTAATCAAGGCTTGTGGTCTCCTGAGCAGAAGTCAGTCTCTAAACATAAAACTAGCAGTAAGATTACTTGCTGTAGGTAAGTTCTAAGGATTACCTGTGTCATTTAAGTTAGTTTCAATACAAACCATTCAAAATACTATGCAAGCTTTACATGAAAATATTGCAGTAGTGCAGTGCGAGGGGAGCTCCCGCCCCGCTGCTCAGCACCAGGGTGCTGGGTGCTGCTTTGCCATTCGCAGCATTAAAGTACCTCAGGAGTGCTTGGAATGCTCCAGGAGGAACATGACTAATATTTATCAAAGGTGATTTGTTCTTTCTTGGGTGGTCTTCTCAGAGAGCTCCCCCACCTCCCTTCCTTTTCCAGTAGCAAAGGCGTTTGGTTTTTATTTGGTGCTGTTCATAACCAGATTCTTCTGAAAGCATCAGAGAGGTGTGTTCTGCTCTTGAGCAAGTGTCTTTAACTTCTCTCTCCCTCTGTTTAGCCATCTTGTACAATAGCAATAAAATGAAGGTAGAGGTAAAATAATTATGCCTTTTGTTTGTAGAGCTGTTCATCCCCAGCGTTGTTGATATTTTCAGTACAAGGAGATATTACAGGGAACCTGAAGCAAGGTTGCATTAACCTGTGTAAAGTCCATCTAACTGCAGCAGAGAGCAGAAACCACGTCTCTTCTGTCCCCCACCGTGCAGTTTTAACTGATCAGTGTCTAAATGTGGCTTTTAAAACAGTCTGGTCTACTGCCAACACTGTCATCCCCCAAAATGTATCTGTTACTTAGCACATGCTAGAAGTATTGCAAGCAGATGATATATCTTTTTTTTTTTTTATTTCTACATTTTTTTTTATTTCTGTATATATTATAAAATGTTCTTGCTGTAGTGCATGCTGTTGCCATAAATGTGGATTTAGATGCATAAACAAACTGTAGGATTACTGGCTACTTCCCAGAACTCCCTCTTCGAAGTATATTTCAATCTATCACTCTATTTGAGTATGCTGTACC